CTGCTGAAAGGCCCTTCAACCCGGCCGTGTTTTCCCGGGGTAACCCCGGCGGGTGTGGGCCAGCTGGTGCCTGGTCCCGGAGGGCGGATCGGTCCCTGCTGAGGCTGACGTTCTCTTTCCCTCCTGTCCTCCGACTGGCCTTTTCCAGGTGTCTGACTTAGTCGGCCTCCAGAGCCGAATCTTCCTTTGGTGGGGTCCTCAGCGAAGGCCGCTGGTGAGTGCGCAGGGGTCTCTGGGGTCTGGACTCCTGGGTCTGAGGGAGGAGGGGCTGGGGGGGTTGTATTCCTGGGTCTGAGGGAGGAGGACTTGGAGGCCTGGACTCACGTGCCAGAGGCAGGAGCCAGCTGAGCGTCCTGAATATTGGAGTCTGAGGCCAGAGTTTTGGGTGGTGGGTGCTGCTGGGTCTGAAGGAGGGGCTGGGGACATGGACTCCCAGATCCTGAGATCTTTGGGTTCCAAAGAGAGGGGCCCAGACGCCCGTGTATCTGAGGAAGCAGCATGTTTAGGGGCTGGCCTCTTGTGTCTTCAGGGAGCTGTTGTGCAGGAGCCAGCTGGGACACTGCCCGACCCCGGAAGGAGGAAGGTTTATTTCCCTATGGCTGAGAGAGGTCTTCTGAGCTTTTTAGGGGTGGGAGCCGAGTGATTAGATATTTTAGGGCCTGAGGGAGGATCTGGACCCCTGGTCAGAAATTGAGGCTAGGCCTTTAGGACAAGGATGTTAAAACCATAGATTCTGAAGGGACAGAAGAAAGCTGATTTCCCAGAGTCTGGTGTGCTTGGTGCTGAGGGCCCAGAGCCTCAGGGTGGGAAGCTGTATTACTGAATGAGAGAGGCCTTGAGTTTTCAGTGGCACTGGACTGGCTGAGAATCTGGGTAGCTGCATTTTCCAGAAGTTGGGGAACTAGCTGGTTGGTTCCTGAGCGGGGCTGGACCCCATGGAGGTAGGCAGGGGGAAGCCCAGCTTCCTCTGCATAGAAGTACTCCAGACTATAGCAGACTCCTGAGATGGAACATTAGTTCCAAGAGGGAGGGAGAGCCCTTAGTCTTCTGGGAGCTGGGACCAGACGCCTGCTCACGGAGAGGCGACAGGCAGGGAGGTTGGGCCCTCTGATCAGACATGGGTTCTCTGAGAATGTTCCCACGTGGAGGCTGGACTCGTGACCATTTGGAGGCTGGAAATATTTAAGTCCGTTAGGTGAAAGAAGGAAGTTGGGCACAGGCGCTGGGGTGCAGAGCTCTGGGTCCCCCAAAGGGAGGAAGTGTGGAGATGGGGTTTTTAAGAGGTCACAGAAGGCAGGGCCTCTTCTTCTGACAGGGGTTATGAGAAGGGCAGGGGAGGAGTGTGCTTTGGAACAGACTCTTGGGTGGCTGGGTGGCTGAGTCCCTGGAGGAAGTAGGGCAGGTTTATGGGTCTGGAATGGGAAGGGAGACATGTGGTTTTACAGGAGGGGGCTTTTGGGGCAAGGAAAGGAGGATCTTGGGAAGAAGAGAGAGAGGGGCCTACGGTCCTGAGCTGACATGGGAGGCGGGAAACCTGAGTGCGGAGTGAAGAGGGGGCTAGCACCTGGGTGACACCTCATCCCAGTAGGCCTGGGACTAGCCTACTTTGAAAACTGGAAGGCCCGCATCCCGGGTACTCCGCCGCTGGAGACCAGATTACTCTGTCCACACTCCCCGCCCCACCAGGGAGGCAAGGGCTGGGAGCCTGGGTTCTCCAGTTTGCAACCTTCTTGGGACACTTTCTTTCCCCTCCCGCAGCCATGCCGGTGACAGTGACCCGCACCACCATCACGACCACCACATCGTCGTCCTCAGGCCTGAGCTACCCGACTATCGTGGGGTCCCCTCGGGCGCTGACCCAGCCCCTGGGCCTCCTCCGCCTGCTGCAGCTGCTCTCCACCTGTGTGGCCTTCTCTCTGGTGGCCAGTGTGGGTGCCTGGACGGGGGCCATGGGTAACTGGTCCATGTTCACCTGGTGCTTCTGCTTCGCCGTGACCCTCATCATCCTCATCGTCGAGTTAGGAGGGCTCCAGGCCCGCTTCCCCCTGTCCTGGCGCAACTTCCCCATCACCTACGCCTGCTATGCTGCCCTCTTCTGCCTCTCGGCTTCCATCATCTACCCCACCACCTACGTCCAGTTCATGTCTCACGGCCGCTCCCGGGACCACGCCATCGCCGCCACCACCTTCTCCTGCATCGCCTGTGTGGCTTACGCCACCGAAGTGGCCTGGACCCGGGCCCGGCCTGGTGAGATCACCGGCTACATGGCCACCGTGCCGGGCCTGCTCAAGGTGCTGGAGACCTTCGTGGCCTGTGTCATCTTCGCCTTCATCAGCAGCCCCTACCTGTACCAACACCAGCCGGCCCTGGAGTGGTGCGTGGCCGTCTATTCCATCTGCTTCATCCTGGCAGCCGTGGCCATCCTGCTGAACCTGGGTGACTGCACCAACATGCTGCCCTTCCCCTTCCCCAGCTTCCTCTCTGGGCTGGCCCTGCTCTCTGTCCTCCTCTACGCCACCGCTCTGGTCCTCTGGCCCCTCTACCAGTTCGACGAGAAGTATGGCGGCCAGCCCCGGCGGTACAGGGATGTGAGCTGCGGCAGTCAGCACACCTACTACGTGTGTTCCTGGGACCGCCGCCTGGCTGTGGCCATCTTGACAGCCATCAACCTGCTGGCTTACGTGGCCGATCTGGTGTACTCGGCCCGCTTGGTTTTTGTCAGGGTCTGAGGCTCTGCCCAGGGGCTCCTGACTCCCTCTTCTCACTGGAGGTTCTCTGCCAAGTTCTGACGTCCTCTGATGTCCTCTTCCTGGTCCCCTCTTTCCTAGGCTTCCCACATCCTTCCCAACTCATCCGGCTTTCTTTCCTCTTTCCTTCACTTCTCCTGCTCTTTTTCCCCTCCTATTTTGCTGGGTTGCCCAGGTCCTGTTTTGCCCCTTTCTCTTCCCTCTCTCTTCTCCATTTTCTCCTGTTTCTGGCTCTTTTCTGGTCATCCTGCCACTTTCTTCATCTTCCTATTTCCTGACCACCTCTTCCTTTTTCCCTTCTGATCCCTCGGGAGCCCTGAGATTTCTTCCTCCTCTGCCCCACCGCCCCCTCCCACCTCCAAAGGTGCTGAGCTCCACATCACACACCCCATTTGCAGCTGTTCATACCCTGGGCCTCCGGAGGGGCCTCATTGCCAAAGCATGCCTGCCCGCCCTGCTTGTGCCTTAGTCGGTGTGTGTGTGTATGTGTGTGTGTTTGGGGGTGCGGTGGGGTGGGTAACTAGGGATTGGGCCTCCTTTCTCCCAGCAGAGCGGGGTGTCCAGTGCATCTCCGCTTCAAGTTAAAAAACAAAACTCTAGAGGTCAATAATTTCCAATGGGCAGAAGCCTTAAAGCATAGACCCTGGGTCCCTAGGCCCCACCTGGTGCTCAGCCTCACCTGAGATTGGCTCCAGAATTTTTGCCAGGCTTACTAGAACCCCACTGCCTCGATGCCATCTTAAAGGAGGCGAGGGGTGGATACCTTCCATCCCAACTACTCTGGGGTATCAGAAAGGAGCCGGCAAAGAACTGCATGGTCTTGAAGAAAACTGAAGTATTTGTGAGGGGCAGCGATGTGGCCTTCCAGTCTCAGTGTTAAAAACAGCATCTCCATCCTCTGCAGGGAGGAAGGAATATGGCCACTGCCAGCCTTAAAGGTGATGCTAGCCTGGGTTTTTTCCTTTACTTTTTTCTGGTCATGAGGGCCAACAATTACTGGACGGCTCTGTTCTTAAAAGGGAAGTTTCTTTTCAAAAAAAACTTGGGGGGGGGTGGGCTGGGGGGCTGGGAACTGCTACTGTGCCACAGTCAAAGGAACTGCATTGCCTGAGTGTGTGGTGCACACACACATGTCTTTCTGTGTGCTAGTTGCTTTCTGCTGCTGCTTCCTGCTTCTCTGGGACTCACATGCATAACATGATCTATATAAATGTATAAATATATATTTTATTTTTTTTTAATTCCTCGGAGCTTCTGGTTCCCATCAGCCCCCGCTGTCAATCATAGAGAGAAGCTTTGTCCCTTCTCCCACATCTGTAATGTTCGTTTTTTAAAAAACCTCAACATAAAGATAAAAGAAAGACTTGTGCTTGCTTTATTGTTATCCAGGAGAAAGGGCAGGGCCTCAATTCCTGGGTTTGGTAGGAGAAAGAGGCTGGGGTCAAGATGACATTGGCTTCGTAAGAAAAAAACTAGCTAAGTCTGGATCTTCCAAACTACTCCCTCACATCAGGAGAGTTAGAATAGAAATGAACAAGATTTCGCCCTCCTTGGAGTCCCATGAGCACATCAGAAATACAATGTCCCTTTCTGAGTGTGGCATCTTTCCTCCAAAATCAACTCTTCAGGTGTCCCACATCACGAACAGCCTCTCAGGGCTGAGAATGCAGGTACTTCTTACCATTCTCTCCTCTCAGTCAGTTGGTGGCTCATCAAACACTATTCTTCCTCCTAAATCCTGTTGATATCTGTCCCCTTGTCCCGGACCCAGCTCAGGTTTCAATTGGCTTCACCTGAGCTACTGTCCCAGCCTCATCCTTAAGCCTACCTGCAGCCTACCCTGGCCCCAGAGGGATGCTCTGCCTTCAACATCCAGATCTGATCCTGCCCTCCCCTGCTTAAATCCTTCTATCCCACTCAACATGGTCTATAGGTAATACCAAAGTCCCTCAGTCAAAGCCTTCAGGGTCTGACCCTGCCTATATTCCCACCCTCAGCTCCATTTTACTGTCAGTTCTAAGCTGCCTGACACACCTGGTCCATAGAACACCTTGCTGAAAATCAAATTAATTACTCCTGCAGTGACTCTCTGACCCACGGTCCGTTTCTCCAGCTTGAGGACGATCACAAATACATCAATATGTGAATCTGGAAAAAAACTCCAGGATCATGCAACCTATCTTCTTCATCTATACCCGCAAAAGCGATTGGGCAGAGATCCTGCAAGGGAGGGAAGGATCCCGCTGGAGGAGGGGGAGGGGCTAACTAGAACAGGCGTACGTCTTTTTGGTGAGGAAAAGGCTCCTTTTGATCTCTGCAGTGACCACCCCAGAATTCTGACTCACACCAGTCTCCACCTTCCCAAAGGGCGTCTTGCACCCCCCCGCCCCCGCTTCCCCATCCCGTGCTTGAACCCTTTCTGGAAGGCACCAGGCACAACCGCTGAAGAACCTGGGGGTGAATGCTGGTAAGTAGAGAAAGAACCCAAGCAGAACTAGAATAGGGCGCGGTGGGATTCCTAGGTCAGTTTTAGGGATCACCCCGCCCCCTATTCTCTGTCCTGGGGCACGGCAGAGGCCTGGAGGTGCTGGAAAGTCAGTGGATCCTACGTTTGGGGGGCTAGGAGAAACCTCGGATACTCTTATCTCCCCTTGGGCTTCCGGGACCTGGACCTGGACTCCCAAAATTCCCAGAGAAGCTGTGATGGGCGTCCGGCGTACCCAGGCGCTGCCGCAGCGCCCCGCCCCGCTTCGCGAAGCATGCCGGAAGAGGAAGTTCTTGGCCGCGTTTGGGGAACGGCCAGTCCGCTGTCCTAGACTACAAGTCCCAGAATGCAAGGCACCCTGCAGCCCCGGGCGGGCCGTGGTTGCCCTTGGCAACAAAGCGGTTCTCCTCGGAGCCCGGACTAGGAAGCTCTCGGGAGCTGGGGGAGGGACGAAGCGCGACCAGAGAGGGAAGGGACGCTGGTGGAGGCACAGAGGGGGGAGACGGGAGGAGACCGACGGGGCCAACAATCAGACAGACCCTCCCAACCCCCTGACGGAGATGCAGAGTAGTACAGAGCCAGCAGGAGACTGGGACTGAATCACAGAGGGACGTGGAGGGAGGGAGAGGCCCCCAGAGATGAGAGAGATTCATAGAGCCAGGGAGACAAATAAAGTGGGTGAGAAAGGGACAAAGATAGAGTTGAGGCGGGGGAGGGGCTGGAGGAGAGGGAGAGAGACCCCCAGGGACAGAGAGAGAGAGACTGACAGAACCAGAGAGTGGGCTAGAGAGAGGGACAGGCACAGAGACATACCGAAGGAGGAAGAGGCAAGCACGAACAGAGATTCGTAGAGACAGAGACAAATGCATCTACAAAGACATGGACACGGAGGGAGAGGGATGGGGAGAGAGAAATAGAGGGAAATAGAAGAGGACAGACAGAGAAAGAGAGATTGACTCTCAAAGAGAAAGACATGGGGTGTTGGTGGCGGAGAGACAGATCCACAGAGCCAGAGAGACAGGGAGAGGAAGAGATTCAGGGGGACAGAAGTGCAAGAATTTATGGACAGGAAGAGACAGAGGGAGACTGATTCACAGTGAGACAGATACCAAGACCCAGAGAGGGTCACAGGATGAGTGACAGACATAAATGGAGACACACAGTGAAGAAAACAGAGAAATAAAAACAGAAATTCTCAGAGACAAGGAAAGGAACCCTGATCCACCCAGAGAAACAGGGAATGAATGCGCCAGGAATACAAGGAGAGGAACAGAGACCAAGGGAAAGAGACACTTCCGGAGGGAGGCATAGACGTACAAATTCTCGGAAGTCCAGAGAGAGAAACTAAGACTCGGGTGGCATCAGAAAAAGTGAGACACCAGACCTTCCTGTTCACCACTGGATCTCAGCTCTAATACAAAGTTTGTGTAACGAAACACAGTGACAGACACAGAGCTCCGAGTGGAGCTGCAGTGGGCTAACAGACCCACCGAGGCACCCTAGTAAAGAGGAAGATGGGCCACGCGACAGATTGGGGAGGGGGCAGGGCACGGCTCAGAGGATGCCCCCTCCCTTCAGCCAGCCCCCAGAGTGGGTGTGCGCACGTGTGTGTGTTGGAGAGGGGAGGGCATTTGTCCCGAGTCTCAAGGAGGGGGGGACGCCTTTAAGCCGAAACCCCGCCCCTCGGTCGTCATAGCAACGCCTCCCCCCACCCGGGGCTCCAACATTTCAGCAGGTGCCTGAGCTGGAGCTCCCACCGCCGCCG